AAGTTCTTATTAAATTAATAATTCTTTTAAGATTAAAAATAAATTTTGTAAATTTATAAATTATTTTTATATAAATAATTTTTTATAGTAACGTGTAAAATTACATTCTGCTAGTGTACTAGCTCTATTCTATCTGATAGTACATATTTTTTATGTCTTTGCAAAATTACTTTTTTATGTCAATTTTATTTTGTTCGCACTAGACTTTTAATTTTTTATTAATAAAAGTAGCAGAAGCATTATACCTACAAAATAATATCAAAAGTCATTTTACATATTACTTCAAACAAAAATACGAAATAGATTAAAATTAAGAAAATTGTATATTTATCGAATATCTATGGATTATATGTATATCATTATATATAGTCCAATTATTGCTTAAGAACGTAACATGAAAAATTTTTAGTATTAGTAAAGGGATAGATTAAAATGACAGGAACGAGAATTTTCACGAGAATTAGCAACAAAATCATTTTTATATATGAGTGATATAAAACCTTTGCTGTGTCTCAGATTCTACTTTAGCTTCATTTTTGATTTCAAACACGTTTTTTACATCTTTTCCAGCCATAAATCAACGTTTTCTGCATAACAGAACTGCTCTTGAAATATAGGTTACGTTGTTTCGCATGTCACAGAAGAGAATCGATCTATGGTGTAACTTCCATGGAAGTTTTACTTCCATCATGGATGTAATCATGGATGTAAGAAGACTCATGGGGTCTGTTTTTTGTGACTGAATTAGTGTATACTTTTAGAATTTAAAATAAGATAGATATGTTTAATGTTTGATGAAAGCGGCAAAAAAATTCTAATGCAGTCTAGTGCAGGAATATAAAAAACAGACCAATGTAAAAGACTTCTTTTATGTTATAAAACAATCTACTAAGTTTTGTAATAATATTAAGTTTAAAGAGATTAAATATAGGTATGTATATTATTAATCTCGTGCATGAATTTATACATATGAAGAGCAGACTTTCAAAATGTGTGTTTTGTTTCCAAAATTCATAATTTTCTGAGAATGAGGGAAGAGTCCCATAAGGCGTATACCAATCAATAAAACGCGAAACCACAACAGCGGATCGCTTCTGATTGGTTATGCGGTCACGCGATACGCGGCAAATACATTTCATGAGACTCCCTCTGATGAAAATTTTTCTCATAATTTTTATAGGAATTGGAACATTTTTCAGAAATACTCAAAAATATTTTGAAAGTTTACATCTTCTCTCAGAATTTTTCATATAATAGTAATGTGAAAACATAAAAAATAATTAAAGGGATAATTAAAGGGATTTTTGCATTGTTTGTTTTAGAAAAAAACAAGTTTGGAAAAATATAAAAAAAATTGCTTATACATAATTACGCATAATTTTATATATAATTATACGTAAGTAATTTTTTTATATTTCTTCAAACTTGATTTTTTCTAAAACAAATAGTGCGAAAATTACCTTTTTAATTATTTTTAATGTTTTCACATTATTTATTTCTATTACACTAAAAAGTAATTTTACAAAAGAAAGAAGGATATATAAACATGTATGGACATATTTCATATATAATTATGTTTATACATATTTATACATATTCATGAAAAATTTTTTACCGGGCTATTATCTATAACATTTTATATTACAATACCAGCCAATAAAGGTGACGCGTCTCCTGTCAAGTATATTTTTGAAATTCAGTACATTAAAAATCTTTTTATATTATTATTAAAAAGGGACATTACCATGTCACGTTACAGTGGATCAGAATCCAAAAATTAAATTTTTAAATTTTTAAAAGAGTATCAAAACCGTATGAAATATTTATCTCAAATATATAATATAGTATATGTAATAGAGTTAATTTTTGATTAATTCATTAGTAATAATTTATTAGTAATAATTTGAAATGTATTTCCTTAAAGTCGAGTAATTTCATGCACGCGTTTTATAGCATTTTACAAGTATGGTATTATATTCGCTAAAATATGCTATAAATGTTTAAATTTGTTTGAAAATGTAATAGGATTTTTATTTTAAAGATTTTTAACATTTATTTCTACAGAGAAATGGTTTATTGTTGAAAATCCATATTAATCGTAAATCAAAGATCAATTAATGTAAGCATTTTGATATTCTGTGTTCTATATCTAATCAAATACTTGGCTAATATTATACGAACTAATATTTGTTTCTGGTTTAAACTGTTTATTTAAAAAAAATATTTTTGGTTTAGATATAATCATTTTGATACACAAAATTGTCTCTACAAGTTTCCGCAAAATTTCTTGAATAATTTAACAAATCAACATTTGAAATAACAGTTGTAAACAAATTTTCACTTGACGGCTGCTGCCTATGAGTTTATATTGCAATTTATTTGTATAGAATGTTCCACGTATGACTTGACAATTTGGGAATTATGTGTGCCAATTGTAATCATTTTAGTCTCAAATTTTACAAATTTTACAAATTTTAAAATTATGTCCAGATTGATGTCCCTTCACCCTCTTTAAAGGGCAAACTGGGGAATAACTTAAAAATTTCAAAGTACCTTTGATCAACTTTTTCGGATCTTCATATTGATTCCATCATTTTGTTTTTTGTAATTTCGACTTCAGATTTGTATTCAGTAGTATCGAAAATCCGTATATACCAATTTTCGTAAAAATTGTCGTCGTCGTCAATATTTCTTTTTTTTTCGTTTAATATGAAATTGATTGTCACTCTCTTCATTATTGTGCATATTTTAATCGTATACACACGGGAATACAAATGCCTTTTCATGTCTTCCCATTGCTTCTCCTGCCTTCTTCTTATTCCTTTAAATATCTTCTCTAATATGCGTGCAACTTCGGGTGCAACTTTGGGTGTTAAGGCACTTATCCCCGTGTGTACCGTAATTTTGCAATTCTATAAAGCCAATTCAAAGATATTACTAAAAAAATGTAGATATTTCTTTTACTTTAGGATCCCTGTAATCACAAGAAAAATTACAGCTAGGTATACTCAAGGAGTTAATAATGTTTTAAAACTTTTTTTAACAATTCGTAAAATCTCTTAAACATTCATTCGAATAAATAAGATCACTGATAAATAAGATCAGATTAGTATCAGGTACACATAAAAAATACACAATATATCATTTAGATCTGTGAATGTGACTAATTCTTCTTTATTTTGAGAAAAAACAAAATTGTACATTGCATTCGATTTAAGATGCTTGATAGGTAATATATTGTGCTTAAAACAAAAATATAGCGTTTACAATACGTCTTTATTTGTCTTTTTCTTGATAAATAAGTTGCGATATAATAGGTATATCCTATTTTATTCATTTTTTACTTTAATTACTTTATATTCACTTATTTATTCGTCGTTCATTTTTTTCAATTATAACAGCACTTACTAAATTAAGGCGTTACAATTTGAGACGCAAACATCGGTAGCGGATATTTGCTAATACGACTATTCAGTTTTATTAAATATGAATTATGTTAAATACAAGTATGCTTATGCATTGCGACATAAAAAACATCGTTTCATAATTTCAATAGAAACACGTTAGATGCCGTACGGACTTTGGCTCTTAGGCCGGTATTCATAGTCAGTTATATTCTTATATTCAAGATCGCCTTAAGTTCAATCTTGAAATGTCATAAATCAATCAGAGAGCCGCATTAGCATCTTAGGACTTTACTTAAAACGATCTTGAAATAAGAACCGATTATGAATACTGGCCTTAGTATTACACGAGTCTAAATCTGTTTAAAACTCTACGTACAATAACATGCGACAAACAAATTTTCGATATATACTAGCAATAAAATATTTGCGCAGCTCTTTAAATGCAGCTGATTTCATTTTGTGCACGTTAACATAACGTCGTTATTATATTCTAATCACTAAACGTATCTAAAAGGACATGTTTACTTTAAATTCAAATATTATGAGTTATAAAAGTTTGTTATTGAGCTTTAACATTAATCACGGCATTCAACGTGTTAATAAATAGAGTTGTTTCGTATTTTTAATAAATATGAATATGTCATGATGTTGACCTGACGATCTGTATTTCGTCCAATTAAGTTCTTCAAGTCAGCCACCAAACAAAATTTCAAAAGTCATAGTCAGTTGCGTGTACATATACATATTTATATCTGTTTTTTTTTTCATTTAATACTTCTTTTTTTTTTTCAAATTAAAGCAATGTAACTTTTCCTTTTTTAAAAGTGTCGATAATAGCAATGGCAGTGGATACTAAATCTCTCGTTTTAGAATTGCGAGATTCCTCTTTCTCTCACTCATTCCCTTCTTTTCCTTCCCTCGCTCTTTTCTCGAAATTTTAATTGTTTATCACTTTTTAACTAAGGTATGCAAAGAAAAAATCGGCCTGTTTTGAAATGTGCAAACAAAAATCTATTGATTAAGAGTATTTCAAACTTGCTACTAGTAGGGAGGGCTAGTGTAATGTTGACTATCTAAAATTGTTTTTTTTTAATAACTTTTTTACTGCAAACGTGCAAATAAAAATTCGAAATATGCATATATATGCAAACGATGAGCAGAGTAGTCGAACGAGCTATAGAAAGTTAATTTTTTGTAAAGTTGGGAACTAAAAATTCATATGAGTACACTATTACTGAATACTTGTAATACTGTCGATAATGTCTGTTTCTCATATGTAAAATGTAATGTAATTAATCGAATTCTCCATTTAATCAAAATCTAATGACTGCAAATGTCAGATGTGTCAATTATTTATACATTATTTATACGTACATTTAGTACAAAACATGATTCGTTTTTGTATAGAGAAAATTAACGAGTATACTTATAAAATGATCGTTGATGTTGCTATACAGAGGACAAAGATTATGACTTTTAGGATATCTTAAAAATATTCAAAGATCTAATGATTTAATGTAAAATACATTAATTTCTATAATCAAATAAATAAAATTATTCACATAAAATTAAAATAAAATAAAAAATTTTTTTTTCAAATATTTCTCAATATTAATCACGTTACGATTTAAATAACAGCTTTGCTATTTAAATCATAATGTGATTTCAACAACTTCTGCTCGATATCTGCTGCCAATCTATCATCAGATAGCGCAGAATCTGATCGATTTTTGCCATCAATCTGCTGTCAGGTTATATTAGCAGATTCTGCTTAATTTTTGCCGTTAATCTGCTGCCTAATCACAAGTATATGGGTTCTGTCGACAAAAAATATAAACTGAATGTGTATGTAATTGGCGTCAGTTTGACATGTACTGATTAAATCTGCTGCCAGTCTGCTGATACTCTGCTTAAGGGATTTTGCCATTCAATCATACTTCATAGCTTCTTGTACCAGAAGAGATAATGCTCCCCTTCGCTAATCTGTAAGTTATCGACACCTGTAAATATAAAGAAATGATTAAAATTATTAATAGGTAAATATAATATATTTATATATTGCTGTATAGTGCAGTTATTTGGGGGGGGGGGGGGTATGATGAAATATTTGCTTATTACTGTTATGTATTATTTTTGTCGTTGATGTTATTTTTGATATTTTTTAATTATTTTTATTATTGTATTGTTTGATTATATATTTACTATTATTATTATTACTGCTATTACTATCATAATCATGAAATATAAATTATACATATCTGGTTTATTCAATATTTTATTAGCCAGACGTATTTTTGCATATATACTATCGTCGAAAAGTTTCCGGACATAAAATTTAAAATTGTATAATATTATATTTACGTCACTAATTCGTTAAAAAAATTATCGCAGACAAAAAAATAAAAAAGCATTTTAAAGCTTGAAACTTATATTTTCCTTTTGACCGCTTTTTTATTTTTTGTTTGCGATGATTATTTGACTACGTTACACCGTGCGCTATGTATCGCGGCCTAAATGGTGTAAATATATAATCTTTACCGAGTTACGATGCATTATGCAATTTTAAGTTCTACATACGGAAATTTTTTGATGTGTATGTTAACATAATACGAAATGTTATTTAAAAACAAATTTTGTTATAATAAATTCTAACTTTCTGTTTGGAAAACTCTGGAGGGGAGTATCCTCCGCTCCCCCTCTCTCCCGTATCCGCCACTAGAACGCAGCCTATATTTTCATATTATATAAATTTTAATATTACATTATTTGTTGTTTATCATTATATAATTTTTATTTTGATAATATGAACTTACTAAAAGGCTGCTCGATACCAGTGAATTTCAACGAAACTTGTAATATCAATTGGAATTTATGTTAAGTATTATATCATTCAGTAAACGGATAAGGTTCCTCTCAAGAGTTTGCGAATAAATCAAAGTTGAAAAATGCCGTACGCCTCATAATCCAAATAACACAAAATATTAAAAAATAACGAAAAGAAATGTCTTTTTTTTTTAAGTTGTCTTTTCAAAGTAATCAAATTAAAGTAATGTAGAAGTATACATCAGAAAAACAATTTATCGCGTTCCATTTTAATTCGGTTATAGAAAAGCACATGTATAATCAAAAGATGGCGTTTGTTGATATATTTTAGTGGGGAATATTCACACTTCAAAATGACATAAGTAACGGATGATTCTAATCTCTAATCACAACATACGCAGCTAGAGCCATTTAGACGTGAACAGCAACTTTCAATCCCCTAACATATACATATAAGTATATAAAAGAGAAATAATTACAGTTTTTTGCGAAATTTTAGAAATATTAAGGAATCTTAGGAAATAATTTATCTTAAAAAGATAAATTAGTCTAAAGATAAAAAACTCTACTGAACTTGCTAATTAAGCGTTCGAAATTTTTCAATTATAATATTTTTACAACGCTTGAGAAGCAGCACGCTTTATCAATAATACGGATAATTATTACGTCGTACAGTTCCTTAATTGGAAATTGCAATTACTTGTAGAAATGTTCAAGTAAGGGAATAAATGAGAGATTCATACCTCCAGGTGCAACCAATTGATTTCCGGGTGGCGAGGATGGTTCAGGCGGTGAGGATAATCTGTAAAGTAGCCAGTAATGATAGGACATTGGTTCTTCTTTGTAGCCAGCCAGCGTGTGAACATAATGACCGTTAGGCCATTCGGAAGCGGTAAATTGGAAATGGGGAGACATGCTTGCCGCCAACAGCATTACACTATAAAAAGTCTCATTTTTTGGTACAGTTACTGTCAGGTTGTACGTTTCGTTTACATTGCTGCCAACCCACAATGTATAGGACACGTTTATAAGCACAGGCGCTGTGATAAGCGTGATATCTGTATTGCTTGTATTATTTCCTGATATTTCTGATGGCAGAGGGATCTCGCTGTGATCATCGGGTGTTCCAATATCTGCAACTTGTAAGTTTAAAGAATTATTCAACGGTAGCAGATACATTGACATGTGACATAGGCTGTGGTCAAAGTCTCGCTACAAATGTTTTGAAGCGTTTGATTATTAGGACCAATTAGAAGAAAGAATTTTGCAAACTGATCAATTAAAAAACACTTCAAAGCGTTTGCAACATCGCGTTGACCATACTCATAGTTCGACCCAAAAGTAACATTTAAAAAAAAAATAAGAAAAAAGATTATTCATTAACATCGTTAATTTAAATATTATTTTGAAAAGTTAAACCTTTGTCAATTATGCGCAACTATACGGGGTGAACCGATTTATTATGATATTCGCACTTGATATATAGACTTATTCTCACAAGACTTGTGTTAAATCTGACGGATAAAATCTGAGTAAAATTTATAAAATACGAGATATAATGAATTCGCGACGAAGATGCATCATGCTCATGAGTGCGATCGCAAATTTGCAGGAATATCAGGTTTCTGTATTAATTTTTACATAAATATAAATATTTATCATTTCATTTCATCGTTCTTAGGAAGTCCATGTAAAGTTCACTTATATATTCGTCATATTATTCATTTATGTTTATTCGAATATGTATTGTATTAGATGTATATCAGAAACTGAACTACGTTTACCAATTTTATAAATGGACGTGTATTAATATTATGGATATCCATTGTCCATTATAAAAAGACATTTTATGAATATTTCTAAGTTATAAAGTTATTCAAAACGGATATTTTATAAATATTCGATTTTATAAATATCTTTAGAAATATTTGTAGGATGTATTCCGAATATCCATGTGCTATCTGATAGTGATTTTTTTTCTATATCTTGTCGCTATCAGGTAGAAATGGGTTCGATTATTTTGAATTGCATTTGTTTCATCGAAAGAATAGTCGTGGCTAAACTGTACAATACAGAGCTTCGCGTTCAGCTCAGCCGTAGCAAAAAAAAGTTAAAATGCCTGCTTTTAATTTTTTAAAAAATATAACAATGGATGATGTTTACTATTGCTTGTAGTCAGGCGAGGTGATGAATTGTCCAATAAACCCTGTCCGCAGTCGAGGGCTCGGATGCTGGCCAATCCACGCGGCGCGACACCTAACATAGCCTCTGCAGTGGCATGGATATTGCCATGAAACGAACCATCTGATCGTTGTTGATTGATCAGCCAAGCTAAGGCAGCGGATCTATTCCAGTTATCAGCCGGTTCATTTTCGATTTCTTCTAGCGCTTGCATCACCAACACAGTATTGCGTAGATCACCAAAACTGCCATCGTGCCTTTGCTGTTGTGCTAACTCGATCGATGGTTTACGAACGATGTGATGAAGGTTGCGATGTCGGTGATCTTGGACGATACACCGCAGGGCCAGGATCAACATTGCGATAGTATCTAAAAATATTGTTTAATAGTAAAATATTTACTGCCATGTAATTTAAGCAACGCAAAATTAGAATAAAATAAAAATACATAAAAGTTTTTTATGTAAAATTCTTTGAGATCTGTTAAAATTTTGGCTAGTATAATTTTAAAATGTATACATCCATGGATAAGATAAAAATTTCGATTAGGGGAAGACCAAGCTGCAATGATCGACTTGAACATTATGTTGTCAGGAGAAGGCGAGAGAGCATAAGAGATAAAAAAAAAGAGAAAGGATAGAAGCGAGGGAAGCAATTAATTTTTATTTTTTATTTTTATATATTATTAACCTAAAATATATCAACAAACATAAATTATTATTATTATTATTATTTTCTCTTTATTTTTAGAAGATTTAAATTCTATATTATGTTTTCAAAAATTTATAAAAAAACAGAGTAAAATTTCTTAAAAAAAGTCTCTTTAAAAAAGAAAAAATATACGCCAAGTGCATAAAAAAGGTATCAAATATTACATTCCTTTTAATAAAAAATGGATATAAACTATTTTTTAATGGATATATTACAATTATTTTTCTTTCTACAATAGTTTTACAGTTCTCTGAAATTTTGTGTACGTATAGAATTGTGAAGAATATTTTTATCTCTTTATTGTTCTAATATTCAATTTGTCAAAAAATCACGTTTTTTTAAATTTACATTAATACCTTTTTAATAAATAACTATCGACTAAATCTTTTAAAAGTCATTCAGGATCATAACGCTAATAACATATGTTAAGGTTAAGGTAATTGGAGGTGATTCTTCTAATCGGAATAATTATCAAAATTCAAAGTTGCCAAAGAGTTTGCGGGTTATCGCCGTGTCGTGATCCATTGCTAATGTTTCGTGAATCTTGTAATTTACTTCATCTGGGCGAGGATCATTCAAATACTGAATTGCTTCTCCGGAGGAGTTGTGGTATATATTAGGTCATTTAAAAAGTATCCGATTTTTTGTTCAATTTTTGAATGAAAAAACCGCGGATACTTTTTAAATGACCCAATATAAACTTAGTTAATGAGGAGTGTTTGAAAGAGCAGGGAAAAGGAAAAAGAAGTCCAAAAAAATATGATACAGGGACAAATTGTAAAAATCCAGAAACATCTAGATGATTTAAACAGAGACATAAGCTATAATGTAAGTAAAATATGGAAGCCAGCTCTTAATTCACCCTTCTTTCCCTCAAACATCTTTTTCTTAACAAAGTTATACAAAGAGAGATCTCTGGATGAGTAGCTTAGTATCAATGTGTTCCTCGCCCTGGTGAAGTGAACAGGAAAGTTCACGAAACGTCGGCATTAGCAATGAATCACGGTGATAACTCGTCCTTTGACACCTCTAAAGGAAATATTCGAAGGCGAAATTTCTTAAGTTTTTCTGATTGTCATTAGAATAGTAGACACCGTAGACACTTTGATTATATTTATTTGTTTTTTATTATCCGATAATATGAGAATTTTGAAACAATAAAGAGGCACTTACCAACATTATGGTCTCGCGCGGCATTCGCAATATCTAAGAGACGGCGCATCTGCCGTTTGCGCACATGTGCTTGCGCGCTACATGCTGCGAGCGTGGTCAATGCAAAATCGTAATCGGTTGGCGGTTCATGATGTTGCAAAGTACCGATTAAATCGTGACCATGGAATTGTCTGGGGTCCATGCACATTGCGTTCAAAGCCAAAGTATAGCGTGCTAGTTGTCCCGGAGAAAACCCAATCTCCCGATGTCTGTAAACACAAACGGCAATAAACAATTCATATAAGCGTTTGGTATAATAAATTTATATCTGGCATGTTGAATAAAAATTCATTTTTCGAGAAATGCATACATTTTCAATGAGAACAAGTACGTGATATCTATACATTGATTCCGTATATTTTAATTACTGCGTGAAAAAAAAATTGTCCCCATCGATATGGAGACATATTTTCGAAAAATATCATATACGAAAATATATGAAAATACTATAATATACATTACGTACAGCAGTTGAGCATATATTACATGAACATGGGCGTATCGTGGAATTTTTTTCAGGGGGGGAAGAGGGGAGAAGGGGAGTTCTAATGTTTCTATTAAGGGATGTGCCTCGGATATACCATACCGGCGCCAACCGGAATGAGAACAAAAAAAAAATTTGCGATTGCACGGCAAAGAACGTAACTACATCAATTCCATTGTTGTGACATTTACAACAATTTTTAACGTTAATGAATTCCATTTGGATACTTTTACAGCTTTTAATATCACCTCATTTTGAAAAGGAAAAATGTTATGTTTTGTATATCATGTAACTTTTACTTTATTTTTTAAAAAAAGTATGGGCAATATGGAGCTACTACAAACAAAATATTTAATTCCATAATATTATTATAATTACCAAAGTAAGATTCCTTATGACAATAATAATTAGATAATAAGTAAGTTGGGCAATTAGGAATCGACGCTGTAAGTGATGTGCTTTAAATGACTAAAATCGTTATAATCTAATAATATATTTCTACAATTCAAGAACGTACGTTTCGGCTTCGAATTTTAGTCTTTCTTCAGCAAATAAATTTTCATGAATTGCGTTTCATTGATTGATGTGTGCGTGGATTCCATTCGTTAATGTCCCATACATTTTCTCATGGCCAGTTGGGGAGCTGACAGCTCAAAACGTACGTTATTGAATAGTAGAAATATGTTATTAGACTATAATGATTTTAGTCATTTAAAGTGCACCACTTACAGCGCCGATTCCTAATTGCCCAACTTACTCATTACTCTAATTGTTATTGTTATTATTATTACAAACATTAAGTAAAGCTCACTGAGCGCTTAATGAGCAATTGTAGTACTGAATATATCAATTATAGCTAGTATATACTGTTTTCCGAATCAAAAGTTTTACGAAAATTTTCCTGTATCGCATATTCTGTCAAAGCTTGAACTAACGGAAGTATTAAAAATTACTTACTATATGGTCTTATAACGAAAAGAAAAAAATATTTTATGACAGACACAAAGTCAAAAGTAAATTGTATGTTTTTACAATTAAAAATGAAAGAGAGGGATTTGATAGAGTACATCGCTAATGGCTAATTTAAAACGAAATATTCTTTTTAGTAAAGCAGTGAAAAATTACTAGGCAAATTACTAGGCCGACCGATGTAAATGGATGTGTGCTATCGGGATATGCGCTAACGGGATCATCCTAAAATGAAATAATAAAAAATTTCGGAGGGTGGGGGAGGGGGGGGTTAAATCTCCAAAACCATTCCCTGAATACGCCAATGCTAACATGAACATGTGTTATATATATGTATTATACGCAGTCATTTTACCTTGTATTATACATAATATTGTACATACATAATAATAGGTATATCTAGGTCGGAACATTCTCCGAAATTTGAGGAGCGGAGATAATGCTCACGTTAGGAAAAGGGAACACTTATTCGACCCAATTGCATTCTATTCGCAGTGCGATCGAAGGAAAGCGCAATAGACCAAACAAGTGTGCTCTTTTCTATTCTCACTTCTTGAATGTTTAATCTACAGCTGTTCCGATATACACTGCCAATACCAAAAGTCTACAATATATACTGAATGTCCAGCGAAACTATTGCAATAACTCACAGGAAGGTAGACAGAAACTAAACTGAGTCGAAAAGTTCTCTATCATTTTGTAATTTTCGCAATAGTTAACAAAATACTAATTACTAAAAATCGCTGAATATTGATTTTTTTCAATAATATTGTATTCAACAAAAACACTATCAACTTTACAGAAAAGCAGCAAGAGACAAAAAGTTAGTTTTCTTCTCATAAGGTTTTGAGAATTTTTTCAAAATTTTTTCAGAATTTTTTACCGTATTTTCTCATGTTGGTAAAAATAAGAAAATGCAGTACTAAAAAAATTGATAAAAAATTCTGAACAAATTCTGAACAAATAATTGTCAATAAGCAAGAGTTAACAATTATGAATAAAACAATTATGATAAATTTTTACCTCCAAAGTAAAAGCACAATTTCTAATTCCATTTGCTTAGCAATGAGTTGCAATTCAAGTGGCGCCGGTGGTGCGACGTTATCATCACGAGAAAGATTGGCCAGGCGAAGAACTAATACTACTCGATGTGTGTCGTTGCCCCAACTTGCGTCCTTATCCCGTTGACTCCACAGCCACGTGGCAGCTCGTTCAAGAATAGTTTCCGCTTCAGCGTCAGCCGACGTCATCTCAGCGTTGCTTACTGACAACAATTTTTCGTTATTTAGATACTATATTCAAGGATATTTTATTTAATGTTTTATATATACAGTATCACATTTTAATTTGTCTCCAAAAACTTTATTTTTTAAATTAATTTAGTTTGATTTTAAAAAATATGATAAATATTCAGGTGGTGGGAATCAGCGCCGATGACCTTGATCTTGACATGTGTTAAAATCATGACTGAGTTTCTTCCAGCAGATTTTAGCTGTCGCTCATTATTGGTCAAAAAGTTGCAAATAAAAAAGTTTAAAAAATAATATTTTATTTCTGTCACAAATGATATTAAGAACCCCGCCTCCCTCACACCTTTTCCTGGTTATCAGGGACCCAGACCAAAAGGTTCTCTCTCTCTCTCTCTCTCTCTCTCTCTCTCTCTCTCTCTGTTCAGTTCGGTTCGATTCCGATTCCGATTTAATAAAATATCAAATAAATGTTGCAATTTCTGTTTCTGTTTCTGTTTTTTTTATTAAAGAAAATCAAAACGTAAAAATTACGATTTTTTAACTTATTCTTCGAATTTGTTCTATTAAGAAGAGGGAGGGGGTGGGGGAGGAGAAAGAATTTGAATCTTCAAATGTACAGTCAGTAAAATTCTTATTGTTCAAAATTTTAATCTTTTGTCATCAGTATTGTTTAAATTGAAAAAATATTTTTAAATTTTGAATAAAGTATATAAAAAAAATTTTTTATTTATTTATCAACTGAATATAATTTAATGGACTGACTGATATTTATATATACATATACAGGGTGTTTGTTAAGTAATAATAAAACTCTCAGATAGAGTGGACTAAACTGAGTCGAAAAGTCTTCTATCATTTCACAATTTTCACTATAGTGAAAAAATTCTTAAAAAATTTTGTGAGAAGAAAATAAATAATTTTTATCTTTTGCTGTTTTTCTGTAAACTTGATAATATTCAAGTAAAAAATTATTAAGAACCAATATTTGATGATTTTTAGTAACTGATATCTTGTTAATTATTGCGAAAATTGCAAAATGGTAGAGAACTTTATTCTCAGTTTAGTCCGCTCTATCGCTATGTGAGAGATTTATCGTAACACTTTTCAAACACCCTATATAATCGATTCTTATATTTAAAACTCTCTTAAGTCTTAAGTTAGAACCAGCTTATCACAGAGTTACGTCTCATGACATTACTTAAAATAGTCTTAAAGTAAGAATGGACTGTTAATATAATTTTCTGGTTTATCTTGTTAAATTAATTTCTTTGTTAGTCTTATATATATAAACAAAAGTACATACCTTCTGCCCAAGTGAAAACGCATAACCATCCTAGAAGATAGATCACAGCAGTCGTATTTGCTTTGTCCCACATGGCATTCGGACGAGTTTCAAATTCCGCTTATGAAAGTAAAATTACTGAAAATTAAACCATAATCATAAATGTGAAAAATATATTTTAAATACGACAAACATTTTGTTAACTTTATGACCGGTATTCATAGTCTCGATTTTTATATTTAAGATCGTTTTAAGTATTAAGATCGTCTATAGTCTTAAGATGTCATAAATCAGAAAGCCGCATTAGCATCTTAAGACACTAAGATGGTCTTAAAATAAGAATCGACTATGAATACCTATGTATGTTTCTCAATTCATTAAATATAATTTTTGATTTTGTGTGCGTGCGTACGTGCGTAGATATGTAATATTTTTGTTTATTGAATCCTTGTACTTATTTTATTTCAAGTAAAATACAATTGAATATAATTTTAATATGATATAAATTTGTTAAAAGTGTCACACAAGTATACAAAAATAAAAAAAAATTTTTTTCACAGTTTAAAACAATAGAAAATTTGTTACGAATTTCAACGCTCCATCTTGGGAACCAAAGTTGAAAATCTTATATTACCGACAGAGGGTTAAAATCTTTTTTTTATTTATATATTGAACCTAGATTACATTATATTATAGAACACTTTGCATTTTACACTTATTATATCACGAAAAAAGTAAAAATTAAAAATTGTTGTTACTTGACCCAAAAATCATTTTTATTTAATATGTCATTGATTATATTTCCTAATCTTTATTCATGCGATAATTCGCCTAATCTAATAGCTTTAAAGAAAAAGTTCAACAATTGATTCAAACATAAAAAGCTCGATTAAATCAGATGAGACTTTTCTCAAATTTTTTTTATCCTTATGCCAATTCGAGCTGATAATTGTAATCGCATAGGCGGAGAAAAATTTTACTTACCGTCTTAACGAAAAAGTCACGCTGCTTGGTTGTAATGTATTATTGGATTTCGCTTGCTTTTGTTTCTTAACTTCTACTTGTACTACTGTTGACTCTTTTATCAAAATCACTGTCGAAATTCGATGGCGGCGATAGCCATAACGATGACTACGATGGCGAGAAAGTGCGACGATAGTGGCCGCTACGATACGCCTGTCTCGTGAATGCGCAATGCAGACCAGAAACGCCGCGCCACGACGCGTAAAGGAAGTTGGAAAACCACCCTCCTTTCACCCTTTCATAAATGCTTCGCATGTTTATCAGGAACGCTTGATTGCCTTCTAATATAATCCAAGTTCTGAGCAAATGGAATTATTTTCATAATTTTACTACGCACAAAAATATAATAGATATTCTCTTTTCTTTAGTCATGTTACTAACTTCAACAGAACAAGAATTCAAAAATATTTTTAATATTTGGAAATAACGAAAAAAATTTTTTAAGTAAATATTGCTGCATCTAGACTATCTAGTATTTATATTTCTTTGCAATTGCTTTATTTTTATTAATATATCTTAACAACTATAGTTACAGATATTTTTTTTATCTTTTTCCATTATCTGCAAAAGTTTAAAATATTTTTTTAACTATTTTCTTACGACAAATACTCGTGTCGAGATGATTATTTACCAATAATAGTATTAATCAAATTAATTTTTTAAATTGTATTTTATATACTATTTTGTTGTATATAAAATTGCATCTTGTATACATAATCATATATAAACCAAATTATTAAAGAATATTTTTATATATTCTATCAACATCATGATCAATACATCAAACTTTAATAATATATATAATAATATATAATTATGTAATAATGTAATATATATGTATATAATATACAGTGTATTCCAAATTTAAATGATTAATTTTCGTGAGCATGTAGAGAATCGATAAATTAAGAAAAAAAATTCTTTAGAGATATGCTCGTTTTTTGTTTCGTTTTGGAATATTATCGTTTTTAAAATGCAATATTATTGTTTCGTGTATGACTTTAGCGACAATACTTCAGAGGCAATGCGAGAGTATGCGTGCCGATTTCCAACCAGAACAGTATCGGATTGGCGAGTTATTTAAAGGTTGACCAAATCAGTGTTTGGCTGCAACACGAATTGTCCGAACAAGATGTAATGTGTGCATTGCTGTAAAAAGCTAACATTTTGAACAATATCATTAAACAAGTGACAACGTGAATAAATAAGTGTGAATGAATAAGTAATAAATAAGTAATAAATAACAAAAATGAAAACTACGTTTTGTCCTTTTTGCTATTTTCTTCAAAACGAAGCAAGAACGAGCATGTCTATACAGAACCTTTTTCTTATGTTAGTTAATTTTTTAGTTGATCGCTTACACGCTCCCGAAGTTTGCCATTTAAATTCGGAATATGTACATACAAGATAAAAATTTTCGAACAATAATAAATTTCAAACAGTAATGAGACGAATATCTTGAAAGATATAGAAGATATAGGGAAAAATGCTTCAGATAAAGTTATATTGTGCAAGAAAAGATTCGGTATCAACTTCATGACGCGAAACAGGCCGGTATTCATAGTCAATTCTTACATTTATTAAAACTCTTTTAAGTACAATCTTAAGATGTCATAAGACCAACTATATTAACATCTTAAGACATTATATTTAAGACAGTTTTAAAATAAAAACAGTCTATGAATACCGCCCCATATTTCGCGTTTCACAGTTGTAGCCCTTCAATCTTATGAACATCCATAGACAGAGAGGGCGGTTTAGGGTACGATTACATGTAATACGATACACGGTACGCGATACAGAAACTAACTACAGAGAGACAAGAAAATTAAAATAATGTCAATTTGATATGATAAAAATGACATAAATTCGGCTAATATGATGTCAAATTGGCATTATTTTAATTTTCTGTTCTCCTTGGGGATAGTCGTAACTTGACCGATGACGTAACTTGTTAACAATTCTGATTGGTCGCTCGACTGTCACGTGATTACATCCGGCATAGGCATACCCTCTTTATACCCTCTTTATGTTTGCAATCGTTTCATATTATTCGTTTTATCGATACGATACAATGTCACTTGGCGACTTGATCATCAAGTTGCGAATTACCTGTGCTACCTATTATCAAATATTTTCGCTAGTTATTTTTAGCAATTAATAACTAAAGTTCATCATTATATAAAATATATTCGCGCGTGCGAGTTGGTTTAATAAACAAAAAAGTTTTATTAAATAAAAATCAATAGATTGTAAAAGATGGAAAAAACGAAGAAAGTAGACAAATTACCGTTGGATCCTCAACGAGAATTTTTGGACATGGATACAGACGACGAAGATTTTGGTCGACAAGGTCTTTTTATCACAATTTGTTTTTCCCAACATTTCTGATAATAGGTTTATTAATAAATTAATTAATTGTTAATTAACGCGTATATACATACAAAAGAGTGTGCGTGCCTTCTAAATTGTTTCAGAAAGTCCCGAAACCGAAGAGGAGCAATCTTCTGAACCAATCAAACCAGTCTTTGATAAACAAGATTTAGATAAATTGGTTATTCTTCCAAGTTTATTTATAGATACAGTCTCATATACATATCTATATGTATATCATTTTTCTATTTTTATATAATTGATCTCTCATTTCATTCTTTTAATTGCACAAAAATTTACTATCTTTACATTATATCTGACGTCAAATACATACATACATACATACATATATATAATTATTAACTAACTAGAAAGAATATCATTAGCATTTTTAGAATATATTTATCAGTTAAATCTTTCCAACAAACATTTCTATATATAAATGATTACGAACATTTACACGTTAAATTATTTTAGGTACAATATGTAAAAGATTTCACGATTCTTCCTTACATCAAAGATTCTGATTGGAAAGAGGATTCTTATACAATAATTCGCGAATATTTCGAAAATCCAGCTCACACGTTATTATGTATATATTTTCAAGATGATACAGTGAAGGCACGATTAAGAATCTTGGATGATAATCAAAGCGATTTCATTTATTTCTTACGAATACCTTGGCATGTGTTTACAGTCGATAATTTTCATGCCACAGTTGTCTTCGGCAGCATCAATCGTAACGCAATAATGTGCGTGTTGAAAATAATGGAAAATATGTATGTCTCCGTCGCACGTAATAGTAGCGAGTGGCCAGAGAGTATCTTTTTTTTAATATTTAATAATGATAATGATGCGTTTCATGACAATTTTATCGAAACACCTTTGGAACCTAAATATTAAAATTCTAAAAATAACAAATAATTGATATTTTTAATCATAAATTCAAATTGCATCATTTTTCAAATCATATTTTTGAAATCATTGTTCTTTAGTTTAGAGAGTTTTTCAATGTCAATCTCATTAATATTTCCTTATTTCAATGTCAATCTCACAAACATTTCCTTATTTCTTTAACGAGAACAGTTATCAGAAACAATCTATTTTTCAATCTACACAATTTTCTAATGTGCTTAACTGAATGGGTTTACAAGCCGATGGGATTAACCAAATTATATATACCGGGAGAAAATCTGTCTGATATCGCGACACTACAGAGAGATAAAAAGTCAAATTCATCCAATAATGAGACAAATGGTCTGCATATTTCTAAGGAATTGCAGGAGTCGGAAAAGGCATTGATTGATAGATTTGAAAGAATTGTACGATATTGGATCAAACAGATACGGCAAGTATTGACAAGTACATCCACAAGCAACAGTGGACGAACTGTATTTGACGAATTGCAATATTGGACAACGAAATGTTAGTTTCGAATGCTATTATATTTCATATTATTTAATCGTAAGCGATTAGCCGTTCGTGTTTATTACAATTTTTATTTTTGAGATCTCAAAAGAACATAAAATGTTTTATTTTCAGATTTTAATTTACGTTGTTTGCACGATCAATTATCAAATATGAAAATTCAATCGATATTGCATCTGTTAGAGAACGTTTGTTCGCCGAGCATAGATTCCTTTCAACTTCTAACGTTACAGCTTTGCGAAAGCTTAGAACAAGCTGCATCCAATATAATGTATCTGAATATTCTATCAGAGGCTTGTAAGAACCTGAAATGTCCAAACGAGATTGAAAAGCCCATAATGAAAATATTGTTACTGATACTGTTTATTTGGACAGAATCCCCGTTTTATAATATGTCGTATGTGATCTTTTACATTTATTTAATATAACATAAAAATATTTGACTATTTGCAATCGTAATCATAACATTTTGATTCCTGACTTATTTTAAAATTATTCATATATTTAAGAAATTGGATAACGGAACAGATTTATTTGTTTATTTTAGGAATAACATAGAAGTGCTTTGTGAAGCTATAAGCATACAAATAGTACATCAATGTAAAAATTATGTCAATTTGCAAGTAATATTAGAAGGCGATACAGAAAATGGAATAAATATACTTCGGAAGTGTATCTCTTGTTGTCAAATATATAAGACGATATATAATAAAGTATCTAAATTAAATATATAGCCAATTTTATCAAGCTTCCACCAAGCAAAATATTTCCTTAATAATCTTTATAAACATCTAAAAATAAATTATCCACGTTAGCAAATATTAGTTAAAATAAAATTAATTGTATTATCTAAAAACTTACAAGTTTAATAAATAATTTTAAAAAGTAAATAGATAAAATTGGCTGTAATTTCTAGAATAGGATACGAGCATTTGTTCTTTCTTGGCAAAAAATTAATTGCAGGTTACAAAGATAACTGCGCTTATTAAATCGAATAGTAATTGGGATGTAAACGAACAATTAATATTTAATTACATTGATACGTTTATGCAAAGATGTTATGATGTCATTGAAATATGCAGTACTTCAATAGTGTTTGAAAAGTAAAGATGTAATATTTTGCATATTTATGTTAAAATATATGTTAAAATCACCCTGTATAAAATTATATATAAAACATTTTTTCCCCGGTTATGCATATTCAGAACAGTAAATATTGTACATCACTGCATGGCTTCGTGCGCATTCATTATCATATACACGCGCGCAATTATAATAGACATGTGTTATATACACAATTTTTGTAGGTGTACTAATGTGGGAATGATTGGCGGTCCAAATGGTATCAAATATGACGCTTGTTTTCGCCAAATAGAGAATTTATTTTCTGAGATTCTCGATGAAATAAAATTGATCCATCACGAAATTTTAGATGTTACAAAATTTTCGTGGCTAGAGAACATGCTGAACTTTAGGAACTTTGTAATGGAATTAGAGAGCATGATCAAAAATTTGATCGACTGTATATTTGATGAGATTAAAAATGTTGAAGAAGGTATTGAGGCAATTTATGCTTTACGACGCTTTAAACATAGAGAATCGTTGCGAGATTTATTATCGAGGAAATGGGTGCAGGTGAGAAAGAAACGCAAGAAAAACAAACTTTTATACAAAAAGATAAAAATGTGTGTGTGTGTGTGTGTGTGTGTGTGTGTGTGTGTGTGTGTGTGTGTGTGTGTGTGTGTGTGTGTATACATGCTAAAATGTATATAAAAATGTAATAGATATTTAATACAAGTTTGAGAAAATATAAAATTTTTCTTTAATTAGTAAGAGTGATATTTCGTCAGGTTTGGGAAATGTTTGATAAAGAAATTGAAAATTGTAATTATAATATGATTTTATGTGAATCATATTATACTCCGTTTCAATGCCACTCAAAAGATGTAATTATGCTGTGCATTAAACAATATTTAGAACGATTATTTCATATCATGATTGATATGTCCGATTGGATAGGAGATTGCGCAGCTGAGACGTAAGCAAAGTCTCTCTACTAAGCTAATGTTCTTTTTATCTGCTCATATAATCAATATACAATATTTTTATCTAATTTAAAAAATATAGAATATTTCTGGTTTTTATTATGTTATTTTATTAGATAAAAAAATTTAGAATCATTTTATATGAATCACTTTATATATTTTACTGTGTTATAAATTTTATTATATGCAATATACGCATATATATGTATATATAATATTATATATAATATTATATATATATATAATATTATAAAAACTTTTTTTAGATATATATTGGAGCGATACAAGCGAATGATGAGCCGAAAATCAATAGAGTGTCATCGATAATAAAACATAATAGAGTGTAATTACTCGGGAAAAAAATATTATTTTACACTTATATAGTTATATAACTTATATACACTAGTACTTATATATTGTATAAGAAAAAATATATGAAAATAAATTCTCTAAACTCGCAAGTATATAAACTTTTCAATAATTTGTCTGTGAAGATTGCTAATAATAAACTCAAATAATAGAAAAATCTATGGTAAATATGCAGTATAATGTCCTCACCTCCGATTGTCTTATAATTTTGTAAATTTATGTATTTCTACAAGTAGAATAATATACATATATTTTGAAAAAGAAAATCGTGGTTTTTTTAAATTAAATTTTCAAGTTTTTTTATGTCAGTAAATAGGAAAATGATAATAATTATATAAAATAATTATAAATATTTATCATTTATTTATAATTTTAATGAAATTTAACTTAGATTTAAACTTCAAAAAGAAATAAATCTACCAAAAGAAATAAAAAGATATTTCTATTTAAAAATACCTGGGAAAAAATGTTTTATATAAAATTATATATAATTTTATATAATTATATATAAAACATTTTTTCCCAGGTATAGACCGGTATTCATAGTCGAATCTTATTACAAGACCGTCTTAAGACGCTAATGTAGCCTTCTGATTGGTTCGTGACTTCTTAAGATCGTACTTAAGATGGATTAAGACTTAAATATAAGATCTGACTATGAATACCGGCCATATTTAACATGTTACATACATAATAAATTTAAGAAACACACACTTTTAGAACTGACTTATTACAAACATAATTTTATATTAAAGAGCATACAGCCACATGTAAAACCGGTTCTACATTAGTTGCAAGCCGATCGCAAGTTTGTTGTGACAGCCAATCTGAAGCTTGCATTTTGAAATCAACGCTTCGTATTGGCTGTCGCAACAAACTTGCGATCAGCTTGCAGCTAATGTAGAACCGGCTTAAGATGTATATAGCGATAGAGTCGTATATTAAATTAATTATAAGGTAATAAGGTAGACGTTTTGTGATCAAATTTTGACCATTACCAATACACTACAAATATTATAAAGGATGTTACAAAGTAAAAAATTGTTTGAATGCTTGTATAAATTCGCTATTCCAGATATGAAGGTGACTTAATATTATAATTACCTTATTTGATTTTGAAAAGACCTTTTTGCGTAATAGAAATTCCTTACTATCCGAAATATTATCCAGAGTCATGAAAATTGCACAGGATCTATTCGAAGTTCTATGGACCTCCCTACAATTCATGCACTTGTGTATGTTCCGGCGGAACATGGAACCCCTTAACCTCTTTTGAATAATCGTGATCTTCGCCGCAAGACAGACAACAAACAACGCTGTTGCTTTTCGCAGCTTTTATATATTCTGTACTATGAATATAGTGCTATGAATAACTGTGAATAAAGTGGATAAACTATAAGAAGCAAAAATTAATTTTGTCAAAATGAACTTGGAACTATTAGGTAAATAAACAATTATGGAATATGTGTAATTAATAAATAATAAGATTAGTAGATAATTTAGAGTACCCTTCTCACCTAAAATTTTAATAAAAATATACTCATTTGATGCGTTTTCATTCAAAATGAAAGAATCTGAAAAACGCCGCAATCGATCTCGTGAATCGAATTATTAAGCGTTAAAGTTCAAGACTTTAGAGGTTAAGATATCTGTCATCTCGACTCGATACAGCGTTATGTATATATGTTCTGCTTTAATTACACAAATTTTCTGCTTTACAAACACAAATTTACTGTTTTAAAAATACAAATTCAGTGCTTTAAAAAACAAATTCTCTGCATAAGAAATGGATGAATCAATTATTCTTCTTGCATTCGACTGTAATTTGGCAATTTCTTACGGCTTCAAGCTTAAAATACTTATTGTAGATCCAGACTAAAGCAGGATGACAGATATCTAAACCTCTAAAGTCTTTACGAACTTTAACGCTTGATAGCTCGATTCACGAAACCGACCGCGTTTTTCTGCCAGATTCTTTCGTTTTGAGTGAAAAACGTGTCGAATGAGTAAATTTTTATTAAGATTTTAGGTAAGAAGTATTCTAAATAATTACCAATTATTTAATATTTTCTAGTCCTAAGTTTAATTTACCTTATTTGTACTTCAACAATTATATACCTATTTTTACAGAATCATTTGGACAAAATTATCCAGAGGTACGTCTACAATATTAATTGTGATTTTATTATTATGATTTTATATGAAGTAATTAGATATGTAAACATTTTTAATGATTCCTATTAGGAATTTGATGGCACATTAGACTGTATATCTCTTGCTGTAACTTGTACATTTAATAAAAGAGGAACATTACTTGCTGTCGGATGCAATGATGGAAGAATAGTTATTTGGGATTTTTTAACTCGTGGTATAGCTAAAATTATTAGTGCTCATGTACATCCAGTATGTTCATTGAGGTAAATGTTACATATAGCTTATAAGTCTGTAAGATAGGTTGTGTAGAACTTTGTAATGTTTTGTGTGTGTGTGTGTGTGTGTGTGTATGTGTGTGTATTTCATAGTTTAAATAAAAAGTGATTGATTTAAGGTGATTCTACAATAAAGTGCTGAAAATTTGAGTGCCTCACCAGGGCTTAATCACAATCCAAAATCACAAATATCTGCATAATTTAGATAAAATGTTAAAGCTACATATATATCTTAATGAAATAATATGAAATATGATAAGTAGAAGTAAATTAACAGTTGCATTTTCACCAAATGAAAACACAGTGCTGTTATATTTACTTTTCGAGATTAAATTTATATGTACGTGTTTATGCATATAAATGTTTCTCCAGAATGACCTATATTATTTTTTTATGATCATTACAATCATAATTTTTTAACTATTATAATCTCGATTTTTTTTTTAGAGAAATCTATGGTAATGTTTGTGTACAGTTAGTTAAAGAAACACATCCGACCCGTATGTGTAGATCTAGATTATACGTTAAAAGTTACATTTTCAACATTTTTTTCTCCCTTATTTCATCAATAATCTATCCTAGAATTATGCATACGTCAAGTTTGATACTTCAATTTCATTATATTAGGTGTTGGAATTAATTCGTAGCGTTTTATATAAATTAAACATTTTTATTGTTCGACTTACTGAGAATCACCTTAAAAGATGATATAATAAAAATGATTTGGAAAAAATATAATACTAAATCTCAAAACATGAATTGTATTTTTTAGTTGGTCTAGAAATGGTCATAAGTTATTAAGTGCATCGACCGACAATAATGTATGCATATGGGATGTTTTATCTGGAGAATGTGATCAGAAATATAGATTCCCTTCTCCAATATTAAAAGTACAATTTCATCCAAGAAATTTCAACAAATTTTTAGTATGCCCAATGCGTCATGCTGCTGTTATGGTTGATGTCGAAGGAACGCACAGAGTAATACCACTTGATGAAGATGTATGTAATAAATGACGTATTTCGATATTAATGCCATTCACATAATTAATATAGGTACTAATTTCGCTAATACATCAATATTTGTGTGTGTGTGTGTGTATGTATGTGTGCGTGTATATGGATGCGTGTATATTTGTGAGAATTGACAAGCGTTACTTTTTATTATGGAATCAATTTTTATTAGCAAAATGTTAATGATACTGAAAAATGGATCAATTAAATCTTTTGATACTTATAAAAAAATATTTAGAGATTTATTTTTAAGTATTTCTATTAACTGATATTATTAAATATTTCTATTAACTGATATTATTAAGTATTTCTATTAACTGATTCATTTTAATTGAATGTATAATAAGAGACTAAAGCTGATAAAGATAAAGTTGCTCTAATTTCAGAGTGATTTAAACATAGTAGCGTCATTTGACCGACGCGGAGATTACGTGTATACAGGAAACGCTCGTGGTAGAGTTTTAGTTCTTGACGCTGAGACATTAAATGTAAAAGCCTCTTACAAAATAACGCAAGGTACTGCTAGTAACACAGCAGTAAAAAGTATAGAGTTTGCACGACGAGGCTCCTGTTTTCTAGTTAATACTGCTGATAGAGTAATTCGTGTATATGATAGTACTGAAATATTAGCGTGTGGCAAAGATGGTGAACCTGAGCCAATACAAAAATTGCAAGATCTTGTAAACAAAACAATGTGGAAAAAATGTTGCTTTTCTGGTGATGGAGAATATGTATGTGCCGGATCAGCAAGACAACATGCATTATACGTATGGGAAAAAAGTATAGGAAATTTAGTGAAAATTTTACATGGGACCAAAGGCGAACTTTTACTCGATGTTGTGGTAAGAAAATTGAATTTATAATTATACTTCTTTGACTAAAATTTAATATGATAAGACTGTTCATGGTACGCAATATCTTTTATTTTTCCTTCTATCTCTATAGTGGCATCCAGTCAGACCGATAATCGCATCTATATCGTCAGGCGTAGTTTCTATTTGGGCACAAAATCAGGTAGAGAATTGGTCTGCGTTCGCACCGGATTTCAAAGAGTTGGATGAAAATGTTGAATACGAAGAAAGGGAAAGTGAATTCGATTTGAGCGACGAAGACAAGTCTGTCGTTCAAGGAGAAGAGGCTCAAGATGAAGAAATAGAGGTTGACGTTGCATCAATTGACAGAGTTGCTGCATTTTGTAGCTCTGACGAAGAAACTGAAGATATTGGTTCACTTCAATTTTTACCTATATCTCCAGATGTGGAAGATTCCGAAGATAATCAAGTAATGCCACACGAACCTCCAATGAAGAAACATCGTTCACACGATATAGATTTACAAGGAGCACCGACTGATGGTAAGATCTCACATATATTAAAAGCAAAAACATAGAGAACGGACTGCGCGATCCGCGGCGTATGTTAAAATGATAGATAAAAATAAAAGAGAGGGAAGACAGCTGATTTTCTATCTCTTTCTATTTAACAGTGTAATGAGAAGGAAATTGGCTGTCGTCCACAGCCTTTCTCTCTCTCTCTCTCTCTCTCTCTCTCTCTCTCTCTCTCTCACTCGCTATTGTCGCCATATTTGAATACTACTTAATTAGATCGCACAATCCATTCTCTATGTCTTTGATTAAAAAGGTATGCTTGTAACATAATTTTAAAGCAGTTGATAGCTGAATTTTTATACCGATAGTCTGATAATAATTAATAAAATTTACAGAAACTCATCCCTTGCTAAATAAAGGAAAGGATAAGCCGACCACAAAGAAGGGAAGACCAAGACTTGAATACAAAAAGGGAAAGTAATCTAATGTGAGAGAGATATCGATAATAATCAAGAAATTTGCTTATTATTTATAATATGATAAAAATGTGAAAAATCTTTCTTGACCATTTTAACAAATTTTTATAAAAGTACAATGTATGTATAAACATGTTAAATTGATTTGAATTGATTAAAACTATAATAATAAATTTTTAATCAGTCTTAAAAAAATGACGATTCTATCATCGGACATCATTGTCCGATGATTTCGTTATCTCAATAAATCATATTTATTTGTTACCTCAATAAAAACGCATTATCTATATTACTATGCAAGATAAAAGCAGATAAAAGGGCTGAATTTTTTTTTATAGGCGATGTTTGTAAGATATGATTCATAGAGCCAATGGAATAGACTAGAGATTAATAAAAAAGTGATCAAATGTTTCTTTTATTACCGAATAGTTTCAAAGTTACGTGCTTAACGCATTGCGCTTCCCGCATAAAGCTCTAGATACCAAAGTATAGGTCATTTTGGACCTATTAACCATACTCTATACCAATAATATTAAGCGCTTATTGGACTACAACTAAATTGAAAAAAAACTAGATCGAAATAGCCAATAGGAAGGCTGTTCAGGCATTTCAGGTAAAAGGAATGCGTTTGGTATCTAGAGCTTTATACGGGATCTACAATAGAAGTCGTAGCGATCGTATGGTTTTAAGTCGTAAAAAATTGATCAATCACAGTCGAATATGAGAAAATCAACTGTAAATGGTCAATTTTCTTTAGTGCAAACATTAGCCCTCGCTCTTGCGCGTCAAAACAAGTTCCAAGGCCACGCGCCAAGCGTTCAACTATCCAAATATTAATGTATAATATATTCCACTTTTAGGATGAAATCAGACGGTGCGGAATACGACTGTGGAATAGAGAATGCGTCTGAGGCTGTGGTCAAAGTCTCGCTACAAATGCTTTGAAGCGTTTGATGGACCAATTAGAAGAAAGAATTTTACGTACTGACCAATTAAAAAACGCTTCAAAGTTTGCAACATCGCGTTGACCATACCCATAGAAGCAACCAATCAGCGCTATTCAGAATAACGCAGAATAACGCTGGTTGCTTCTATGACGCATTCTCTATTCCGCAGTCGTATTCCGCACCGTGTGTGATTGTGTGATTTCATCCTTAGGCTGTGTTCGCTTTGACGCTCACAACTCTTTAAGCATCGTTTCATCTTTAATTATAAATATTAAACAAGAATGATTGATGCTCACAAGCATTCTAAGGGTATGACAGAGGGGAGCACAAAGTCTTACATAACGCATAACACATAATGCATAAGAAAATAAACCAATCAAAGTTCTTTATTTTCTCCCTTTCCATGAAATAAAAGACTCTGATTGATTGATTTTCTTATGCTTCTTGTTTTGTGTGTTATGCAAGAGTCTATGTTTCCCGCTTACATCTACACAACTTGCATAGTCGCATAAAACGTATGCATAAAACAAAATTATCCAATCCATTTTACGTGCGTCTTTATAGGAGAAATGCAAGTTGTATGGATATATTCTAAACGCCTAAGCAAATAAATATTGTAGCCTTAAAGTGTCACAATAGAAGAGAAATAAGGAACAAAGATTTCAACCTATCAGATATCGGAATATACGGTTTCTGATAGGTTGGAATTGTTATTCTTTATTCCTTCTATTGTGGCGCATCATTCTGATTATCTTTCAATTCCCACCCGAATATCATTCTATCCTTGTTATTTAATGTTAAACAAAGGATGACATGACATTCGAAGAATACTCAGATGGGAATCCGAATACGCCTCTGGTTGGCCTGGTTCTTTCCTCCCATGTGACAAGTATAAGCAAGTGCAGGCAAGTGCGACAAGTACGAGAACTGATGAAAAGGAAGGAGAATCTTCTAGTCACTTTTAGTTTAGAGAAAACAATTTAATATAGAGGAAAACTTTGTTCGGAACATCTTGGAGTAGACAGGATTGACCGCATGTGATGAAAAAAAAAAATATGTACATATAAGGACTTTAATAAGGCACTGTATATAAGTTTTGCCACTCTGATTTTCGGACAAGTTCAGTGAGCATTTGTTTCACAAATCAGTTAGACGATAACTTGGATCCAGAACGAAGCCGGTTCGTTGAACTGACACGTTGCTGTATTTCACGTGTTGTGTTACACACGCGCATTTTGCGAGTGTAACTATATGTATATATAAGGGAGATAGGATAATCGTTGTCTGATTTCACAGAACGCAAAAGAACGGAGTAGTTAATTGCTTTATTCGTGCATGCGGGTGAAACTCGAGTAATCATACAAACGTTACGTCCTATCATGATTCGATCGAGTCTCGTATTAATTTTTGTCATCGCTATTTCGCACGTTACCGTTGGTGATGACTGCAGAGGATGTGTGCCCTTGGATTCGTATTCATTCGATAAGGTACGAAAAACTTTTAATTTTATCTAGAATTTCAATGTGAAAATAGTATGTAACCAAAATTCTCAGAATTCTCAATTTATGCGTATAATAAACAAAATATATATTAATTACATCTGTGAAATATCCTCTTTTATACAAATGTGTATGTGTGTGCATGCGTGCATATATTTTATTCATGTGTATGTGCGTATGTGAGATATGATATTTATAGTTAGAAAAATTTTTCTAAACTAGATAAAGAGAGGCTTAATGAGCTGAGCTGGATAAAAAATAAATAAAATATAAATATCGCAAACATTTCGATTTAACACACAAGACATCTTCATCTACAGTACAATGGTATAAATAATTTATGACTGTTGTGTAGATCAAAACATTTGCGATATTTATATTTTGTTTTCTACTATTAAAACAAGCATTGTCATCCAGCTTAGCTTATTTACCTTTCTTTATCCACTTTTTATTTATATAATCTTTTGAGTCTTGTTTAATTTTTTTTAAATTTTATTTATTCTCATTACATCTAACTTGAACAAATAATGATTAAAATTAACGATAAAAATTGTGGAAAACTTTATTTTATATAATTAAATAACTTTGCAACATATATATAATTTGGCATTTTGTGTATGTGTATGTGTGTATGTGTGCAGCATAAATAGATGTATTTGCTTTATGAATTTGAGAAATGTATGACTAAGAAGTAAGGGACAAGAAAATTCAATCAATTTTTATTATTTTCAGCCATCAATCGTTAGTAAATTTTTTCTTAATTATCATTATACTTTTCTCAGATTCGTAAGCATCTTCTATTTACAATTAAAATATCAGTTTTTTTGTATCAAATTCCAATAAATCGACTGAATATTGACATACACTTCCTGTAATATAGAATTTTATATTTTAATTGCTATGAAATTTATTATTTTACATAATTATGTACAAAGTTATGATTGTGGATATATTACAATTCAAATATATGTCAAATATATAAGATGTAATTACAATAAAGTCAATAAAATCTTCTTATGAAAACTAAATTGGATTTGATATTTCTTTTTATAATATTTTTATATTTTATGACTATATTACACATGAAAATGAATTGAGAAACTGTCATTCTAAACATTCAATCTCGATATGAGATATATGAAGATATTTAGATATATACAACATTGTCACGATGTATACAAGTTTTTAGTTAATTTATTTTTGTAATATTTCGTGCAGGTTATTCCCAGATTTAAGGCAGTACTCGTTAAATTTGATGTAGCATTTCCTTATGGTGGCAAGCATGAACAATATGCGACCGTAGCGGCTGATACCAAGGATTCACAGGATCTCCTGATAGCTACAGTGGGCGTAAAGGATTTTGGCAATAAGGATAATTCCGATCTAGCGCAACGCTACAACATTAAGAAGGATGATTTTCCGGTAGTTTTACTATTTGTACAGGGCAAATCTGAACCAATCAGATTCACTCCTGAGAGAGAATCTGATTTTACGGGCGAATACTTGAAGCGATTTATCAGATCTAGATCAAGAGTGTACTTAGGATTGCCAGGATGTGTGGAACGATTAGATAAATTAGCTGAAGAATTCAAAACTGTGGGAGAGCAGGACAGGCAGGTAAGGATTTAAAAAAAATTAACAAGACAATATTATATTTCATTGAATTGTACCAAAATGGCTGTATCATAAGCATATTTATTTGAAAATATTTAAGTAAAGATTAAAATATAATTCCATAGTTTTATCTTCATATTCTTGTATCATTAAACTCTCTCTATGAAATATGTTAATTTTATTCTTATATTTTATATATTTATTCTTTTTCCTAGGAAATACTAAAGAAGACAAGAATCTTTGAAGAAACTTTACCGGAAGAGCAACGAGAGGCAGCAAAAATTTATGTCAAAACTATGGAGAAGATTCTCGAACGGGGAGATATATTTGTACAAACGGAAGAAACGCGGGTACAGGGGCTCCTTTATAGAGGAAAGTTGTCTGATCAAAAGAAGCGTACAATGGAAGAGAGACGAAACATCTTGCAATCTTTTTCAGCGAGGGACGAGTTGTAGAGAATTTAAATTATAATACAATAATCACCTAAGTAATATCTAGCAATCAAATTTGAGTCGTCCGAGTGTCGAGATTGTTGTGCTATTTTGAATTATTTTATACGCTCGTTTTGTAAAAGTAGCAATAGGAATAGAAATCGCGCGCACATATATGAGAGCAATACGCTCTATTTTCTATTAAATGAATACTACTGTATTTACTTTAATTATTTTGCATTCCTTAATCTATTCCTCTGTGTTGAAATGTTTCTCACACTTTGTGTTCTATTGATGCAAAATACAAAATGATTTATTATTTCATATAATTATTATTTTTTACTTTCATTCTTTCATCACAAAATACAAACGAATATAAAGTGAATTAGGTACAATAAATATTAAAAATATACGATTCTCGTATTCAAGAAAATATCGATTGTTGTGACAAATTGGTTATTTAATACATTTACTGCTCATGTATCGGAAATAGAGATCTCGTTGGGAGCTAAGCCGGTTTCCATCCCTCCCGACTTCACATAATTGAGTTATTAACAATGATCAACGACTATCAAATAAAAATGGCAATTGTTTAATTTTTTTCATCTCTTTTGATTTATAGTAATTTTTTTTACGCATATAATAATTGAGAAATTTATGGAAAATCTCAAATTATACGAATTCAATAGACAGGAAACGTGTATTAAATAAATTTCGTATCTATTACATAAAACGCAGAAAAAAAAAATTAAAAATACTCTCTAAGGAAATGAAAGGTTGATAGGTTGTGGATTAAGATTTTATATATATATATATATAAAATAAACAAAGTAGACAAATTGATCAATTTTATATCGATTATCGTATATGTATACTCTTTCAACATACTTCACTCTTCTTAAGGGAAACATACTGCGCAATCATTAACTATAAAGAAACATGTGATATAATGCATAAATTATCTTTGTAAAATAATGAACAAATAAAAAGCAAAAGGCTGTCTGTTTGTAAAATTGTCGTTGTATTTATTCGTTTGTCACCAAAGAGTCAACATACATTCCCTCATACACATTTTTTCCAGTACAAATGCAATTTTACATGAATTTAACATAAAATGTGTGCGCGTGCGCGTGCGCGCGCGCGCGTATATGCGCAAAGTTAAAAAAATCACAGATATATGTCTATACAAATACAGTTTTATCGCTGTAAAATTTAATAAGCTTTTTTATAATTATTGCTAAAAATGCACCTGTCTTCAAACAATGGCATATAATACGTCTGTCGTAACGTCTGTCATAATGTCAGAATGTGTCTTTTGATAAACTATTTATATATATATATATATATATATATATACATATATATATATATTTTTTTTTTCGTGTCACCGAATACAATTATTGTTTCTCACCTTCATTTTTTACTTTTAACTTTGCGATCTCGTTGATTATTTTTTCTTCATTCGTTATTACTTGTTTCTCTTCCAGCGTTTCATTCTCGATATCCTTTTGCTGAGAAATCGCTTCACAGTCTTCAGTCCGCTTCAACGATTTCATTTGATCTTCGTTATCAGTACTCTCGCTATAACTTACATCACTGCTGGATTCGCTGTCACTTTCAATACGCTTTTGTTCCGAATTGCTTTTGCCAGCATAAATCTCACATTCGGATCCTACAATCTTCTTAGCTTTTTCAAATGTTTCCTTCCACATTGACGCATCTATATAAAACAAGTAAATATTCTACGATATTATTATGATACTATTAGCGATAATACACGATAATACAGTTTGCGATAGTTATACTTTATACATAAAAACTATAATATAGCACTTGAGAACTCACTTTCGGCATTTGCAAAACGTATCGCAAGTAATTCTGGCTTGAGTTGCTCATCAGCGTAATCAGCAAGTACGCTCCAAACCCATGCTCTATCACTGCCGCAATTTGGTTTCAATTCCATCCATGGAGTGATGAAATGATTCGCACAGATCTTGAGAGTTTTGTCTCTGCGCATCACTACTCTAACTGTATTTTTCGTTTTGTGTCTTAATAGTTTGACCTCTCCTGTGCCACGTTCCTTCCATTCCGCAGGATTGCTCGACGTATCATAACGATATAACTTAGCCCGTCTACAAAATATAAAAACGTACATAAAGTATATGCATATACATTGTTAATTGTTTTCTTTAAAATGAAAATTCTTATGAACCTTAGTAAACACTTAGTTTTTGGCATCCTCACACAATGGATTTCGTGTTCTGAATTAATTTTCTCATCACTTTTATAAGCGTATAAAAATTATTAAGCGATTTTTATATATATTTTGATATCTTTAGAAAGTATTTGTAAAGTTGTATATTTGTAACAAATTGTATATAAATTGTTATAACTAAATAGTTTACAAAATAAGAAAAAAATGTACTTTTTCATACAAAAATGTAAAACTTTGAAACAAAAATGTTCAAAGAAAAAAATATGTTTCAATCTTAAAATTGACATTCCAAACTACGAATGAAAAAATAATTCAAGTATCGGCTGTTGAAAAAATTTAGTAACCTGAAAATGTTTTTTTTTAATATGCTTGAATGACTATAAATTGAAGCTATATTGCATTTATATTTTAAACAATGTATTTTATTATTGTTATTGTGTTAAAAAAAACTTGTAATTTATTAGGAAAATATTCTTAGTAACATTACAGATAACACAAAAGTGCTAAAAACCATTATGTTAAATTCTTTTTTTAGTAATTCGCGAAATATTTCAGTAAAGAAAAAAATAAAATTTTTTTATTTACAAAAAATTGTATACTCTGTACACAGGATGGGTCATTTGTGACTCAGAGATGAACTTTGGAGCTGTTCTTGTTAAAGGATATGCATGAATTGAGGCCGGCATTGAAAAAACACAAAACTGGACTCTACCTTTTTTTAGAAATACTTTTTTGGGAATAGAAGAGAGACCTCGGTATTTGACCAGGTGCTTAGTATTTCAAAGAAAAGAAATGCACAGAATACGAATGACTCATAGGTGTATATTAAGAAGTTAACTTACAGCTTCAACATTTCTATCTCGTCCTCTTCATTATTGGATACTTCTATCAAGGGTAATGAAATTATAGGTTCAAAATGAACGTCGTTTTCAATATTCTCTTCATCATTATCTTGAGGCTCACCATTCACCTCGATACGATCACCATTTAGCTTAAAAAAGAAAAGAAATCATTTCTACTTTTATGGTATATATTCCAATCGAAGTATAAGTTTGCAGTTTAAAAAATTTTTATTGGACTAAAAAAAATATAAAGAGATGAATTAATTCTCATTCGTCTCCAAACATATACGAGAGAAAAACTGTAAAAAAATTGAGATAAAAACAATGTTATCGAAGAAAATACAACGTCTATTTAAAACGCACTCATTTCGAAATAATACGTAACATAACCTATTGTTGATCGCGACGCAATCTAAATCCTCGTGCTTAATCGACCGATCTAAATTTTACTTTAAATGAAAAACGTGAAGAGGGAAAAGATTCTATCTAAAAAAATATATGTACGTACCACGTTCTCCGGCATCTTTTGTCGACACTGGCCAGGAAGCTATAAAATGCTAAATAAATTTATACGCTCGCCGACAATCGGACAATCGCGTACGTATTTGTATGTATGATGATGTATGGTATCGTGGTAAACGTGGTAATCCGTATTGTTCCGTATTTCCGTCCGTATTCATCCGTATTGGTCCGTACCATCCGGTCGGTGGTTCTGGTCTGGTCCGTTTGGCTTCGACAGCATTCAGCAGCTGTCACAGTCGATTCGACAATCGATTCAAAGTTATATCGAAACATTGAATATTTTTCGACTTTGCTTTTTCGAATTTTAAGATTTATTTTCATTAATCTGTAAAACGATCCTATCGAATCAATCTATTTTTTATTATATCACTGAGCTTGAATTACTTACAATTAATAGTAAAGCGTTCACATTAACGTAAGAATTTACAATTAAAATAAACAAAATTTGAGCGAATTAAATTTCGACTAAAAAAAATTAAATTAAATTAAATTAAATTAAATTTCGAATTAAATTTCAACGATTTAAATTTCAACCGGTTGAAGTTTACACATATGCGCGTATTCAGATCTTGTACTTAAGGCTTCCTTAAATCTTTAGATACTCAGTAGCCAATGAAATAATTCGTAGTGTATCTGAAGATAAATTTAAGGAAGCCTTAAATATAAGGCCTGACTATAAATACGAGCATTAGTGTTATACACGGAATTTTTTATGCGGCAGCCCTAAGGGTCTGCCCGAAGTCCGAATCCAGCCATAGTCAAATATTAAGCCTGCGGCACATGATGCTTGTTTTCCTTCTGGATTAGAATCTTGCCACCGTATTGGCTGCGATACTGGCACTGATACAGCACCGCAACCAATACGGTGGCAAGATTCTAGTTCAACTAGCAGTCCAGCAGGAAAGCAAGCATTGTGTGTCGCCGGCTTTATATTCAAGACTGTTTTAAGTACAGCCTTAAGAAGTCATGAACCAATCAGAGGGCCGTATTAGTGTCTTAAGGGGATGCTAAAGTCGTCTGTATTATTGACATTTTCACATGGTGAAAAATCTCCGAATTGGATTTACGGATTGCAAAAGTGTTATTACATAAATTAAAGTACGCACAAATAGAAGCACTGGATTTCATGAGGGAATCGAAAAAAAGTTAAAAAATTCACTTTTGGCTCGTACAGCTGTCATCTCAGAGGATCGATTCTGTATCTTCAAACAAGGTGAAAATTATAAAAGTGAGCAAATTTACTAGATGTTGACCAAAGAAATTATTAGTATTGTGGTAAATTCGCTTATTTTTGTAATTTTCATCTTGTTTCAGGATACAGAATCGATCCCAAGATATAATGTAAGAAATGAATAAAAAACGTCACCATTATCGAATTTGGAATTTAAAAAGTCTGCATCTTTATCGACTTCGATCAAGTTCGATAATAACGACTTCGCATCCCCTTAAGATAATTTTGAAACAAAAGTGGACTATGAATATCTGTCCGATGTACATTGGCCGACTGTCACGCCCGCCAACTGCGCTAAGCACAACGGCACTTTCAGAATCGAAAGGTGTGATGGCGCGCATGTTGCGAGAGTTGCGACTTGCGAGTGTGTTCGAGTTCGAGGAAGCGAGTATATACTTACATAGGTCATAGGACGTGAGCAGACGGGAGAGCGGGAGAAGTGAAGTGGAGTGGAGTGAAGTGAAGTGCAGTGAAGTGGAGAGGCGAAAGGGAGTGGAGTGTGCGCGCGCGGCGCGATTCCGGACGGCCATTGCGAGTAACTTGTACGAAGCTGCGAGCTGCGAGCGCGATTCCGTCTCGTACGGCACACAAGTGAGAAATTTCGGTGAATCGACGTTTATCTCTGTACTAAGGTGCTCCGTGTCAAGTTTGGAACGCGCACGACACTCCGGCCCGATGGCTGAGACCGACAAATTGAACATCGACAACATCATAGCTCGTCTCTTGGAAGGTAAAGCTGGTCGATCGCTGCTCTATGCTGATCGCTACGTAGGAGCGAAAGGGTGGGAGAGTGTACAATCTCGTACATCGCTCGCTCGGCTCGCCCGTCTCCCTCTGGCCTTCCCCTCGCCTGTGTGTGTGTGTCTCTTACTCCTTTCATCCCCGCGCCTTCATTCCTTCCTTCGCGTCCGCGATTTTTCTCGCTATGCTCTCTGATGTGCCACGACGATTCCTGCTTATGGTATTTTCCCCTTTCTTTCTCTCTCACACTCTATTTTCCATACGCACGCACACACTATTCAAGAGCATATCGAAACGCCATCCCGACCATTAATCTTGGTTCCATTGGCGTTACGCAATGTCTTCGAAAATGATGAATGCGTTCCGATCGACTCTCGTCATCGAATAGCACGCGCATTAGTTTGTTTACACAAAAATGCACATTTATTTCACAATATCGTACACGTACTATGTACGCCTCGTCGCGATTCTGATTTCTGGCCGAGCAGGGCGAGGTCCTGCCGTCCTGCCAACCATACGGCGAAATGATTAGTCCCATGAAGAGAATCTTGTTATATATTCGGGAGAGTACTGTCTTAGGCCAAGCCATTTTGTCGCGTTATTGTTACTTTGAAATCATTCGTC